GTGTGCTTTTTGCTCACACAGCTTTGGAACTGGAGAATTCTTCACAATTGCATACTCCTGTGTTAATTGGGATCTGGGCTCCGTGTCGGGCGCTGGGGCCACAAGATCACAGACATGTTGAAGTCCAGCACTCGCAGAACGGTCTGGCATTCCGTGTTTGTTGAGTGCCGTCGTGGTTTTCTGGAGAAAACAGTGGGATGAGTGAGGTGCTGGTGCTCAGTGGGGCCCAGTCCCCAGACGTCTCTGTTAGAAACGGGAAGAACGTTTATCTTCACTCATCTCAGGCCTTGGGCCACCGCTGAGCTGGAGGGTTGGCCCAAACAGCATGTCGAAATTGAATTGCTCGACTTGGCCCTTCAGCAAGAGGACAGGATGTGTCTGACGATGCGCAGGACATGGGGAAGACACAGGGGGATATAGACACATGTGAGAGGGGGCGGTGTCCCCCTGTGTGCGTGGGGATGGGGTCACATGCATCTGTAACAGCCCACAGGCCTTGGGACGGTGTGAGCACCCCCAGGCAGGGATCCCATCGCCTTGCTCTGGGCCACCTGTGGGAGCTGGTCCTGGCCACCATGGCCGTCTGCATCCAGGCGGGGTCCTGGGGGTCAAGGCCCTGCTCCTGGGTCCCGCTACAGGCTTGGGGCTGCGTCACCATCAGCCCGGGACCTCTGGCTGGCTCCGTCCCACTCCCCTGTGAAAATAGCCAGTGGTGCCATTCACCACCTGCATGGAGTCCCTGTGTGAGAGGCAGCTGCTAATCCGAAGGCCGGGCCGTCCTGGGGAGACTGAGCCCGGCCGGGTGTGGGTGCTGCACACACTCAGTTGCAAGGGACATGCAAATGGGGTGGGGTGGGGTGTCCACCCTGGGTCCGGAGCCCTGCAGAGCAAAGCACACACTTCTTGATCACCTGTGTGAGACACAGCCGCACAGCCCAAATCTGTGAACTGCGAGGCCCCTGAACCCGAGTCAGTGCGATTCAGAAAGGCAGCCGGCCCTGCCATGAGCCCCCCGACCTCAGCTGGGGCTCCCAAGAGGGGCTCTGCTTTGCTCACGGGAACGGGAAGCCACTGCCGTGGGGGATGGAGCCCATGCGCCAGACATGAGTTTTCTTTGAGCCAGGCCAGGGTGTTCTGGAATGCTCTCTGGCCCACAGACGGCCATTGTAGGGGCTGTGGGTGGCGTGGGGATCCTTGGGGACAGGCTTCTGCTGCCACTTCATCTGCACGCGGCCCAGCTCCGGGGGCCTGGGGTCCCTGCTCAGGGACAAGGCCCCTCCCTGGGTCAGCTGCCCTTTGACTGAGGACGGGACACGTAACTTTGGGAGCTGAGGGGACACCTCCTCGGCCTCCTCCACACACGCTGTCTCCATAGAACGCAGCCACTGTGCCAAGCGCGAGCACTTCAGCGCAAACACCAGCTCCACACGGAGGGCACCCCACCTTTTCCATGAGAACAGGCTTTGTACGCGGCAGCCGCCTTCAAGATTAGCGTTAATCTTTCACACGTTTGCGTGCTGTAATAAATCTGGATTATAAACTCGCGGCTGGCGCAGGGGCGTGGGCTCCTGTCACCATCCCTCCCGCCCAGACCAGCACGGTGGACGGCCGGGAGGGAACCAGACATTGCGTCACACCAAGCCCCAGGTCTGGAAGGAAGCTGCTCTGGGCCGTGGACGAGGCCCTGCCGCGCCACCCGAGCTCCGCGCAGGACGCGGCCTCCTTCTTCCCTCGCTAATAGGAAACAGGCATGTTCTCGCTGGTTCTGATTTACACAGACGCTGCTCGTTCCCTTTGAAGTCCACACGAGAAATCCAATTTAGACGCTGCGTGTTCGTGCCTTTGAGCTTCTGTGGGGGCCACGGGGGCAGCAGGCGCTGTTTCCCAGGCTAGCTCGTGTCCCGGGCCCTGCGCTCCTGTGTGTGTTGCCCTTTGCCTGCAGTCAGCTGGCTCGTCCTGTGACCCCAGCACCTGGCCCTGAGTCACCGCAGCCTGTCTTCGCCGCGCCTCACGACCCGCCACCCCAGGGGCCCCCGAGCTGCAGAGTGGTCACTATGTCAGTTAAGGGCCCCCGCGTTTATTCCCTGAGGGCACCTGTCCCAGGGCTGCAGGCAGAGGTCCGGCCCACCTCGTGGGGACGTCTGCTCCGAGAAGGCCCAGCTCGGCGGCACCCGGAGGGCTGGGTGGGCTGGGGTCCGGCCTCACGGCGTCGGCTCTGCGAGGTTGTGCTGTGGGGACTTTTCCAGAAAGGGTCCCAGGGAGCCCCGTGATGTGGCAGATCATGCTGGTGCCACTGGGCAGCTTTAAACACGTCGTAAACGACAGACGCCACAGGGTGCGCACGAGGGGGCCGACGCCTGTTCGCTCCTGCCCACCAAGGGCAGGCAGCCTCTGACCCGCCGCCTGGGACTGCTGGTTCTGGCCACTTGCTCGGCGTGCCATCGCTACGCGGCAGGTAAATCCCCCATGCTGGCGTTTCCCGGCTGTGCGTGCACGCAGACGGGTAGGAGTTTTTAAAGAGCTCAGGGGACACCTTATGAGAGAGACGAGTTGGCCCCCGTGCCTGGCTGGAAATCCAGCGCAGCAAAGACGGAGTCCCAGAAGGGTTTCAGTTTAATCTTCCAGACGTATATATATCCCTAAAATCACAAACTGAAAATTACCAAACTAATTTAGAAGTTAACCTTCACCATTCTGTTCGCCCGCACTTCACCCTAGCGTCTCGTGAATGGGGGGATCCGTGGGGGCCGGGGGTCCTTGGGGCCCCGTCAGAAGGTAAAGGCCCGTCTGCCTCTCAGGGGCTGACTTCATCCCCTCTGCTGTTTCTGGATTTTCAACATGCTGGAAACAGGTGGGGACGGTCACCCCGGGGAGGGGGATCACCTCCAGCCGCCGCACGGCTGCATCTCTCCACGTAAGATGAGCAGGTCCCAGCTCTGCGCTCAGCTCAATGTGGGGACACCCACCTCAGGGCTAGCAGCCCCGGGGTCCAGCTCTGCGCCCCACCTGTCTGTGGATACGAGCACGGGGCCCGGGGTACGGAGCGCGTCAGGCTGCGCCACCTGGCAGAGCCTCTCCGAGAAGGGCGGCCCAGCTGGAGGCCACGGCCTGGGGTGGGGGCTTGACAGCAGAAATGTGCAGGCTGTGGCAGCTCTAGGGTCTGCGTTGGTCACTGCTGGGTGGATTGGAAGTTGGAAGAAAGTCCCTGGGGGCATGGGGGCTTTCTGGAGGCCACCTGACACAGCCACAGCGTTTCTGCACATGGACACCAGAGCCCAGGGACACACTGCCCCCAGGTGGGGCCCAGCCTGGGAGTCTCGGTTAGTCCCTGGTGCCCTGCTGCCCCGAGCCAGGTGCATGCCCTCCGCTGGGGCCTGGGGTCACTGCGGCCTCCGTAAGGAGTGAGACTAGCTGTTTTGGACACACAGATGGGTCCTCGGTGGCCCCGGGTCCTCCCCGAGACCTGAGTCAGCTGACCCGGAGCATCCATGATGGACGCATGGTGATAAAACGCCACCCAGGGAACAGTGAGCTCTTCTCAGGTCTCTTCTGTAGCCAAAGGGATTTCTCTTTGGACAGCCCTCTGCTGGGACTTGCCCTCAACCAGAGCCCTGACCCCCAGTCCCGGGAAAGAGAGAGAAACCCCTTTCCCAGCGAAGGAGCGCAAGAGTGGTGTGGGTGCACGGGCCCCTCCTGGCAATGAGCGGACCCTGTGGGGGCCACGTGGCAGATGCAGACCAGCCCACGCCCACGGTGCCTGGTGTGAAGACCAGCTCTGCTGCTCCCCATAGGGCTCACCTGCCCCCAGAAAGGCAGAGCAGAGGATAATGATCCTGTGGAGAGCCCCAGGAGCTGGGTGCTAGGACTTGGCGATTCTGGGGGAATTAGACACCCAGGAGCCTGCTGGTCACGGAGCACGGGTGCTGCCCTCGAGCTGGACGTGAGGGAACGCTGGCTCTGCGTAGACCTCCTGTGTAGGAAGCGCCCCTGGTCCTTGTTCACAGCTGTCAGCAGAGGTCCCGGCATAGACAAGCTTTGCTTTACTTAAGGTGAAGGCTGGGGCCCCACGTAGGAGGCCCCCAGGCCGCCACGCACCCGTCCGCGCCACAGGAAGCAGCAGGGTGGGAGGGTCTCGAGACAGCTGTTACCCGTGAGACCTTCAGCGCAGTGCCTGGTGTGGCGCCCCTTGTGCTGGGAGCAGTGACTCGGAGCAGACTTCCGTCCACGGGCGAGCAGACGGGGCCCCGAGATGCGCGGGGGCAGGAGACGCCCGGGGAGACAGAGGGTCCTGCGAAAACCCACCAGCACACCTGCCAGTAGTCTGACCAACGTTGCCTTTGAAGTGGGGCCGCTGGTGGAGGGTCAGACGGGCCCTCTACTGCCGTCTGCCTTGCAGTCCCGCTTCCTGGGGAGGGCGGGACTGGAGGAGGCCTGGGGCTGCATGGCTGGGGCGGCCTGTTGTTACAAGCGCTCCTCTGTGAGGAGCAGACGTAGCACGGAGCCCGGGTGGGCGTGTTTTCCCCCCACGTCCACGGCTCCCCGCACCGTGATCGCCGCATACTGTTGCTCTTGGGTTTTGTGGACATCTCCGTGCCATCTTGGTGTGTGCTCGAGATCCCAAATGTGCAGACATTTATCAGATAGGGTGTCAGTAGCAGGAGGAACGCGATCGTACATCCAAGTTAAAAATTTTTGCTTTGATTCCTACAAATCCATGGGCCCTTGGGTCCAAAGCTTCTACTGCAGTTTGCAAATGGATTTTTATAGCACATTAGTGCTGGGGGGGATTCCAAGGAAAACAGTGTTCTCAGTATTAGAACCAGCTGCAGCTTCCTGGAGACGGTGACTCACGCCCTCCTATTAATTGGGTGGGAGAACCAGGCGGAGACACGGGGACTCAGTCAGGACACTGTTTGTTTTCCAAGGGTGCCCTGGCCACAGCCCGCCCCATCCATCACGCCCATCTGCAGCCTGTGTTTATTCAACTTTGCTTCTTGCAGCTCCTACCATAAAAACAGAGCCCACCGATGATTACGAGCCTGCTCTGACCTGTGGACCAATGAGCCAGGGCCCGAGCCCTCTCCCCAAGCCGTGCTACAGCCAGCAGCTGGTGATGCCGCCTGACCCGGGCTCCTGCCTGGTGGCTGGCTTCCCGCCCTGTCCACAGAGGAGCACCATGGTGTCACCGCCCCCCAGCAGCAGCCCGAAGCTCCACGACCTCTCTTCCGCCACCTACAGCAAGGGCATGGCCAGCCCGGGCCACGGTCACCTTGGACTTCAGCGGCCGGCCGGAGGGGTCCTCACCGTTCCAGAGACACCGAGACCTGTGGGTGTGCACCCCGGCCCCCCCCAGCAGCCGCCTCCTGCCCTGCTGCGACCACAGGTGAGTCCACAGCTGAGCTGCAGCTGTCCCCCGGGCCACCAGCCAGCTCTCTGTCCCAACAGCCCCTCCTCCTCACCACCGTCCGGTACCCAAGAGCCGACCTGTTTGCAGTCCTGCAGCCCCACCCACCCATCCGAGATGGGCCACCAGCAGCACCGACTGCCGAAGGCTCCGAGGAGCGAGTCCGCAGGCCCCCGGCCTCTGCTGCTGCCCGAGGTGCATGAGGACAGTAATCATAGTCTGGCCCCCATTCCCGTAACGGTCAAGCGAGAGCCTCAGGAGCTGGACCAGCTGTATCTGGATGACGGTAAGTGCCCGTGGCCTGAGGTGCACACGCAGCCTGGCGCCGTATCTGCGAGTGTGACGAGGGGTGTGCGCATTAGCCACCTGGCAGAGGGGTGCGCCCGGCAGCCCTTGGCAGTGTGGCTCTGCTCCGTCACCTCGGCCGGAGGTCCCGCGGAGCCTGGGGCTGTAGACCTGCGGGACCAAAGCTGCACGGACCGTCGCCTCACACGAGCCAACAAGGTCTCTTAGAGGAGGCCGTCCTGGCACGTGGCTCCAGGTCCGGCTTGCTTGTTTCCGAGCGTCGTAAGAGCTTCGCCAGTTGAGTGAATGATTCGTAAATAGTGATTTAGCTGAAGGTGGTTAACATTTCCCTCCGTGCAGCGCTGTGACACCCCTGTCAGGCACCCCGGGGAGGGAGAGTAAGCCACAGGACAGCCCCGAACTGGGACTTAAATCCCACTGTGTGGGACCTCACCCCCGGAGCGCACGGGCACGCTCGGTGCAGAAATGCAGCTGAACACGCACGGTCAGGATGGCCCGGAAGGAAGCGCTCTCCACACACCTGCAGGCAGGCCACGTGGTGTAAGCGTCCGAGTCCATAAAATGTCATCGGATGACACCCCATTGTTCTTGGCACATTGACTCCGCAGGGTTGCGCCTGCCTTTGGGATGAGGTGCCACCTGAACTGCGTAGAGGTGGGCGGTCCTCTCGCATGTTGGTCACCTGACTACTCGCGGATCAGCGCTGTGACCAGAGGCCCCATGAGCTGCCCAGGATGGTCAGTCCAAGTCCGCACGTTCATGGGCCCTGCGTGGATTGTGTGCACGGGTGCCAGGGATCCCGTCGTTGGCGCTACCCATCTCTTCGGTGTAAGCTTTTCCGGGGCTAGATGCCCATCTCCCCTGCTGCTGGACTCAGGTGGGGGTGAGAGCCCAGGACAGTGCTGGACACACGGCCCCCAGCCTCCCTGAAACACCCTCTGGGGTCGGGGCCTTGCAGCCTCCTTTAGCATTGAAGGCTCATGTCTCCTGCTACAGGTGTCTCCGTAAACGTCGCATTTCCACTGTTTGAGTTCTGCGGGCTACCCTGGGGCCCTGGTGTTGGGAGGAGTGTTTTCGGAAGAGTGTTTGCTCCTGAAGTGGCTGTTTCAGAAGGGGGTGGCACGTACAGGCCCGTCCCCCCAAGCTGAGGGTCAGGGTGGCCAGGGGACACGGAAGCCTTCCCAGCCACAGCGTCTGGCCACCAGCAATCGCTCTTGGCTCAGTGGCCCAGGCTGGACAAGGGCTCCCTTGCTCAGGGTTTCTCACACTCCCGTCCGTGGGGGTAAAAACAGGGCTGGTCCCAGGCTTCTCTGTCCCTAACTGAGGGCTGCAAGCTCTCAGATATTTTTGTTCCATAGATGGTCAACCCTTGAGCCTGGAGATGTCCTTGGAGCCTGTTGTGGGTTCCCTCCCGCCCCCAACAGGCCTTCAGGGACACCCCAGAACTCAGCAGCTTCCCAGACCACACTCGGGGTCCACAACTGACCTCAGCAGCTTCAGCTTCTGTTTTGGATTCCATCCCCTGAGGTTAGACCCACGGCGGCCGTGCTCCCTGCCTGGCCCCTCCGCGAGCTCAGCTTTGTCCCAGGGAGTTGTGGGGTGGCCCCGCGAGCAGCTGGGTGGGCCCGAGGAGCATGTGCACCGCTCCTCTCCTGGTCTCGGCCAAGCCTGCGGTACTTTCAGGCAAGCTAGGGTGACCGGCCCGGCCGGGCTTCTGGTCTGTCTTGCTGCCCTGAGTGTGTTGTGGTAAGAGGCAGCCTTGCGAGGGTGGGAGAGGCGCACGTGGCACGTGTGATGGGGTGTCCTGCCCCGGGTGAGCCCACAGCTGCTGGATCCGCCCTCGAGAAGGTGCCGGGGCCCCCACGAGTCTCTGGGCCCCTCCGGACCAGGGCTTACCTGTGCAGGCACTGGATTTGGTCAGGAGGGCAAACCTAAGTGAGACCCTTCGGTCCAGTGGGGCCATTGGCCGCACACCCCGCAGCGTGGACTCTTGTCTGCAGGGGTGCGGCCGTCAGCCTCGCGGTGCAGCACCCCGTGCTGGCTCGAGGAGCAGGGCTCTGGGGCTGCTCTCTGCAAGGAGCCACCACCTCCCCGCTGGCTCCTGGCTCAGACTCCCTCCTGGGCACCTGCCAACACCCGTCCTGGTGCTCCCGCCGCAGAGGTGGTGAACACCCGGTATTCACTGTATGCTGCACCCTGGCTGGAGGGTCCCACGCCTGCACCCACTTCGTGAGCCCACTTTCCAACAGCTCTTCCCTTCTCTGTGCCCCCCCCGACATTCTGCCTCGGTCTCCCTGGGAGCATGGTCTTGTTTCCAGACCACTAATGTCTCACCTCCTGCTCGGAGCCTCAGCGCCCCCTGAGCTGACAGCTACCACGGGGCCGCTGGCGCTTTCCGGCCATGCTTGTGGTCCTGGGCGCCCTGGGCAGAGGTTCTGAGGCCCAGGGAGCCTGTGTGCAAAGAGGTTTTCTCCGCCTCGATTTGGGGCTGAAATTATGGGCCCTTGTTTCCAAGAAGGCCCCATAATCCCAGGCCAGGTGTGAATAAAGATTTTCAGTGTTAGCTCATAAGAGCATTTATGAGAGATGCTTATTGTAATTTGTTATTTTTATTTTTTGGTCAGAACCCAGATCGTGGTTAAGGCAAGTACAGGAGAAGGCTCGGTAGGAAGCGGATGATGCGTTTATGTGAACGTGCACACGTTGTCCTGCACACAAACACACCCATGCTATTCCGGTGCTGCTCAGCGGGTCTCAGCGGAAGCCTCGAGCTGCTGGCCATGGACCCCTTACGGAAGAGTCCATAATATGCCCCCTCCGTGGGTTCTCCAGAGCTTGTGTGGGTGGGGATGGCCAGCAGCCCCCGGGAGCGGCCTTTCCTGAGGCTGAGGGGGGCCAGTGGGGAGCACCCAGCCTCCCGCTGGCTCAGGCTTCCCTGCAGTACGGCCCCCAGGCCCAGAGGCTGCATGGCTGTGCCCGGAAGGTGACCACGGAAAGTGGGGGCTCTGGGCCTTCTCCCTGGCAGCCAGAACACACACGTGTGATCTGTGCTGGGCATCTGTCCACCGTCAGGAAAGCGGACAGAACGTTCATTGCTCTGTCTGAGCGTCTGGAGTCCCGAGTCCACAGGCAGTTAGGACGCAGACTGGGCCTGGCTGTTTCTTGCTGTGGGAGCAAAGACAAAGGCACCGTGTCCTCGTGAGAGGCTGGGTGACTCTATCAGCTGACCTTGGCGCCCTGGGACCTAGGACGCACCCTCTGACGAGAGCAGTGATGCAGACGTGGTCTGCGCCAAGTTAGTTCTCGGGAGACTGTTTAGTTCAGGATAAAGGCCTGACCCTGAGCTCCCAGCCTCCCCACCCGAATTCTGAGGGAGTTTGGAGGGTGGGTTCAAACTGGTGCCCTCTTGACGGGGCTTATGGGAGGGATTCGCAGGTGTTACGGGTGGTGTGGGCCTTACCTTGGGACGCTATTGGAAAGCCTGCAAGACTTGACTTGGCACCAGTGATCTGATCCTTTGCCAGCCCCCCATTTTAATGGTCCGCATGATCGGGGTTTTTGAAAATGAACTTGCCAAACCAGGGCAGCGTCAGAGCCTCTGCTCATTGTGGAGCAGAGGAAGTTTCCGGAGAATACCTGCAAACCGCCTGGGTGGGGGAGGGGGCCGCCTCCACCAGAGTGGACCGGGGGTGGGGCGGAGGGCCTGTGCCAGGGGCGGCGTTGGGTATCTGAGCCCTCGCCCCCTGCCACCTGCCGGCTCAGGACCCTCTCTGGAGCGGGGCGCACTGCCCCTGCTGGAGTCGTAGCTCCTTCTGCTGTTGGATGTCTCAGCCTCTTTCATCCTCCTCGCCCACGCTGCTGACATGTGGTCAGTGAGCTGCTCTGAGGGACGTTTCTGGTGTGTGAGGTGGTGTCGCGGATTCGGCAGCAGGCTGTGGTGACGGCAGGTGGCACAGGGCCGGGTCTTCCGTCTATGGCTCAGATCTGAATTTGCAGAAATGGAAACAGTAGCAAAAAACTAAGTTAGAAAATGAGACGCCGTGGATTTGAAGTGGCCTCAACGTGAAAGCTTGCCACACACCGCTTGACCAGCAGAGGCAGGAGGCTGGGGCGGCTTCAGGTCGGGGGCAGGGGCCCACTTCCTGGAAAGACCAGCGATCGGACAGCGGGACCTCGGGCCCTGTGACGGCCTGGTGGCCGTGAGGCCTTCTCCCAGAGGCATGCGGGTTCCGTGGGTTCCCAGGGGTTGGGGCTGGGGCTGTACTCGGGATTCACACACGGCTCTCCAGCAGCCACGGGGAGGGACGCAGGGCCCGGTCGGCGAGGGCCGGCCCCCGTGGTGAACAGTTAGGTGGCAGGGAGCCCAGAGGCGCTCCACCTGGCCTTGCCCTCCAAAGCAGCGGCCTTTCTGGAGTCCGTGCGTGTGACGGAAGCCACAGCCAGAGTGACACTATTACGTATTTCTGTCGGGCATTTGCTCGCCGGCTCCATCCAAACCACCGTTCAGAAGTCATGGTGGCGGTTTGGGGTTCCACACTGGAGTTTTATTTGGGTTTTTTGTTTTCCAGGAACACAGAATGAAAAAGGTGAGGATAGGGTGTTCTCTGCCGTGGCAGAGAGCCGGGGCACTTGGGGCACGTGAGTGGTTGCGACCAGCCTGGTTCACGTGGGAG